AAGTTAATTAACAAACGGAGACGTAACAATATTAATAATCCGAAGTGTCTGAGCACAGAACTTTTAAATATACTCGCTTTCAAACAAAACTTTTTAACAAAATGGAATCCTTAAAAGTTTTGGATTAAATTAGAAAACAATCGGCCAAAGATTTGTAATACAAATCATGTTTACTACAGATTTTTTGACAAGAGGCGTATAAAGATAGCATTTCGGAGAGTCCAGTCTCATCTTCTGGTCCAAATAACGAAGTTTGGTATTAAGCGAAAGGCCTCTTAAGCAGAGATTTGTGCGAGAAAGAAAAAGGATATCTGAAATTCTATTTTTACACTCCTCTTATTATGAATTTAAAATGGAAAATTTAAGAACAAAAACATTTGCGGTTATCATGATTTACATCACAAATTTGAGGCCTAAAAACAGTAATATTTAAATTAATTACAGATTTTGATCATATTTATAACAGCAACCAGCGACGCCTTTTAATTTTCATCAAGAGTAAAATAAACGTTCTTTCTAATTATTAAAGACTTCTGCCTCTTCAACAGGAGTTGTGTACTTTGTACTAATTTTTGCTAACTATATATATATATATTATTTGTTTCCGTGTCAAGGTTAGCTTAAACGTTATACTCAGATAAAGTGATTTGTAACTACAATACGATAAGCACTAATATATCAAGTATTTTTGAATTGACACTAAATAGAAAAAACTTTGTTGGTCCATTTTAGGCTGTTGCAGAATTAGTGACATCACCTCAGCCTTAGTTGTCAAAAGCACGTTCTACTCTAAACTCTGAAAGTTTTTTAAAGGAAGCAAAGATTTGAACTTGATCGCCATAATATGAAAAATTACAGTCAAATGGGAAAGAAAGCGTATACTGAACTGAAAATTATTACATGAAAGTGTTTTGAAGTACACAGGCGAGTTTTTTGACGTATAAGCATCATATATAAGGAAATTGAAAAATATTTTATTATATTTTGTGATTTAAAAACCATTGAAGTAGTTGCTTGTTTTCTAAGGAAAGTATATACTTTAACTATAGGTGCATATAAAATCATGAAACTCACTGTAACTGTCTGACAAGCTCGTTTTCCTCGAAATAAAAAAAAAATAATGGAATGATTAAAGATCAGATCATATGAACAACAACAAAAATTCGGAAACACAAACAAATTCTTATCAAGTTTCATAAAATTTCACTGAAAAGTATAACAGCTCATTAGATATGAAACAAGAAGCTCTATATGATAAGTTCAAACAAGGGTTATTCTAATAAACTGGGTAATTCTGGCACTATATGTATTTACAGGATGATTAAAAAATGGAACAGTTTAGGAAAATTATTGTTAATGGTATGAAATGTGGCATCATACAGACCTGTGATAATTCATGGTCATTTTCAAAGCTATATCTTTTGGAAATTTAATATACGCAAAGTATAAATGGCAAAGTGTAAAATTAACAAATGAAACATTTTAAACGAAATATTACCAAAACTGCTTTTCTAAAATGAGAGTTAAACACATACACAAACACCCAAGCACAGTGCTTCTCCCAAACTATTTAAATAAGGGCAGTATTAAGTTGAACATTTTAACAAGGTCCTACTATATGGAAAGTGCTGCCAGACTGTATCAAAAATGTTAGTTGCTTCTTACTACAGGTTAATTTACGTATAAACACAGTGTAGGTAGACCAGGAACAGTTTAATATTGTCCTACTGTGTGGATGATGTCACCAGATTGAAGATTGCTGTTATTTGTTTGCCTCCATTTTTTGAATAGTATTTAGGATGTTTCATCTGTCTTTATTCTTATAACTGTTAAGTAATTTTGGTAATTTTTGGCTCAAAATGTTTCAGTTTTTATTGACTACACCTTTTCAATCGCCATCTTTTAGTGTATCATGCCTAGTAGCAAGTTTTGAAGGATATGACCTTGAATGACCTCTACGATATTATGAGGGAGTAAAACTCCCACATCTCATTCCATGCCACTAACTATTTTTGAGTACCCTCCCATTTCAGAATTATTTAACGATCATTCGACTTCTGAAACACTCGGTACATTTATATTTAGCTATAATGCTATGAAATTACACTGAACAATGCTGTAAGAGTTTTTAGATTAAAGAGAAATATTATAAAATATATTTAACAAATGATTTTGACACCCAACACAATAGTCCACAAGTGTTGACAAAAAACTACAAAGAGACAATACAGAATGAGTACAAGTCTATAATATAGCTTGTTTAATTCAAAATAAAGAAATAATTTTCTGATACATCATATAGTAATTCTCTTTTAGGAAAGTTGTGTACGGTTTTCTGGAACTTAGGTTTACAAATACTGTAATTATCTGTTTTGTAAACATTTGGCACTTCAATACAGCAACAAAAATTTGAGATTATCTCATTAAAATTAAAGAAGCTACTTTAGTTTTTCTCCCATTGAAACAACCTTTTGCAAAAACAGATATAGTACTTTTAAAAATGCTACAAGTATAAGATTATCGAGATTATAATACAAGAAGTTGACAAAAATACTGTTCATTAAACTTAGCTATTTTAATTACAAAAATAGAGTTGTATATAGGATAATAACAAGAGTAAACAAAACTAATCTCATCTAGAAGAATTTTAATCTTGGCCCTTGCTTCTAGTTTTCCTTACTATTTTATCTATTGTTTCGTGAACATACTTGAAAAATAATAGAAATTTGAATTAGTTATGAATAAAAAAATTTTTTTTTGTTTCTATTAAATTCTAAACCTTAATTTAAAGACATTCTAATTAATAAAATACTCAATAAAAATATGGTAATAGAAGGATGGTTGTAATTCATAATAAGTTCAGTATGTATAATTCTACATTAATTGATAAACTTGGAATTTTCTAATAACAAATGAGGTAATATACTGAGTTTAATTATCTGGGTATTGTCATGCAATTGTCTTAAGATTTTCAGAATAATAGTTCTTCAATCTGTTAGTCAAAAATTTTTAAATCACTAGGAATTAATTTTGTATTTTCCACTCTTGAGCATTGAACACAGAACTGAAAGACAAAACAATAAATAAGGGTAAAGGAAGAAAATGTTAGATTTTTGTTCTTATGAAAACCTATTAATTTCATAGATTTATTCAATAACCAGAAAATTACTGCTAAAGTACATATTCCCCAATTCTAGATTCTCAAAGTAGCATACATAAGTTTAGGTAACAGAACCAAACTAGTAGATTAAGTACAGTTTACATGAGAGCTTTATTAGACCATCACATTTATTTCCCAATTGATTTATGCTGTTTACCAAATGATACAGACAGAACAAATACTCAGCTAAGTAATCAAATATCCAATTCCTGGTCTAGTTTTTTTACATTAATACAGTTACAGCTGAATTTGTCTTCTTTAAGAAAGACTATATTAATTAAAACTAAACTACAGTCACATTAGTTAACCAGCTCAGAAAGCAATAGAATAATTCCTTACAATTTAGACAGCAGCTCATGTTATCCTTAATGGTAAGTAAAGCCACAGCACAACAAACCACATTTATGAAAGGCTATGTCAGTAATTACAATGATTTTAAAATCTGCACCTTCTATAGAGTAAATAAACTATGAAGCTCAAATTCAAACTGTAAGTAACAGCTAAATGTTACAAATCAGCATGTAGTATATAATGTATAGTACAGTGTACATGCACAAAAAGCTCCTAATGATTCTGTAAGAAAAAAGAAAAAAAAATTACAATATCCTTTGCTTAGAAAAGTTTTTTCTTAAAGTTGAACTTAAACATATCAATGTTCCCATTTTCTGACTACCATCAAGAACCAAAGGATACAAAGTAAGATTGTAACCCTAAAAATTTGATTATATCACAATAAAACTGACACATAAGAAATATACAAAGAGAGAGAGGAAGCTCAAGACCTTAAAAATTAAAGTGACATTATACTTGAAGGCTTGAAACAAATTGTGTAGTGGCTAGAATGGAAACTTTCAACACAGCTGTGTGACAGTTAATAGCTTGCAACAGTAGACAAGTTGTGAAATGGTAGAAGTAAAAACATTTCGTACAGCTAAGAGCTGAAACTGTACATGGTATAAGTGGAAATTGCAGAACAAAATGTAAAAGACAAAGATCTGATATTTTACACAATAAGTTTGACAGTTGAAAGTTTGAAACGTATTAATATCAGAAAATCTTTATATCTAAATTTCTTAAAGATTTAACATCAAAATTGTTAGATACTCATATACATTTATCAGGTTTTTCGTGAATACGATTTATGCAAGCAATGTCTTGGTTTACAGATGTTACTATTAAAACTACGTACTGAAATGAAGCACCACATAGCCTAGTTAACTACTTTAGTTCTGTTCATTTAAAGATTTAAGAAAAATATATTTTTCTTGAAGGAGTTTGGCAGCAAAAGATACAGAACAAAGCCAAGAGATTAGTGTACTAAGGAATGATGTTGTCTTGAAAAATAGAATAAACTATTTCAAGTCTAAAAGGGGTATAATAGTTGAAAATATACTTGTGTATACTTCTCATCAAGTGTATGACTTTTGCTGTCTTTCCTAATGTCAGGGTTCACCTAGAAGATCTGATATAATTATTCATTCAGACTGTAGATTTGAACAACTACAAGTTTGTTTCTACACAACTTTTTTCATGCTTACTTTACTGAGAGAGAGTAGCCTGATCTATATAAAATGTTTTTTCAAGAGACTCCAACATTTATCAAAAGGCTTTTTATACAGAGCATAAACCACAATGTAATATGCCCTTCTGATTAGACAATTATCATGTGAAAACCAATGTATTTGATCTACTTGCTGTCCTTAAATTTCATAATCCAGCCAACTGAATTTTGTAAGAAAATGCACTGCTGTATACAAAACACTGCATATTCATTTATCATACAACTCCTTAAATTAAAAATAATTATCAAAATTAACACCAAATTGGAAATAACCATGAAGGAACAAAACTGATCAGATAATCACAGAAATGTTCCAACACTAAAATTTGTAACTAAAGAAAATATTATGACAGTTTTCAACAAATAAAATTTTGAAACTATAATGCTGCCAGAGATTTTACTTCAGTGCTATACAATTTTATACAATAAACTATTATCAAACAAACACTTCAAAAAATATAGAAGATACGTTTAACTTTATAGCTTTTAAACACCAAAATTGGGAAAAAACTACACGCAAAAAATCTTTAATGTAATGGAACACTTTTCATGAAGTTTAGAATCTTATGGTGTTTGATCTCATTACGTGTAATTTCTAAACGATATAACTTTATAAGGCAAACAAAGAATTTTCTTCTTCATCTCTACTGAAGGGCCGTTTTCCTGAAGCATTTGAAGCTGTTGTTGTTATTGGTAGGTGTCCTGCTTCAGCTGATCGTTCAGCCAAGAAATTATCAAATTCTGTGTAAAAAGAATAGAATAATAATTTGATTAGGACAGTTAATAAATATGATACATAGTATAATTTTAAATATAACCAAAAGAATTAAGTAAAATTTCCTCAAACTCCAAAACATCTGTGTAACAAATAGTGTAGTTACTGGCAGTGGCTACTAAAAATGGATGGTGTCTATAGGAAACAGTTCTCTTCTTTCCCTTTGTATTTACTATGTAACACTTTAGATTATTTTCACAGAAATCTTAACTGAAGATGACTCCTACCTTGTCAAAATTTATATTTGTGTCCCCTAGTCCTACTATTCTCATTGTTAAATATGAAAAAAGATGATGCATCAACACTATCAATTCCCTTTACAATCTTAAACACCTCAATAAGATCCCTCCCTTAAACCCTTCGATAATGACTGGCTTAAGCTTACTCTCAAGCGTGAAGAAAAGCTTCAACAGACTTTAAGACATTTTAAAAATTGTAAACTCATCTCTGACATCACTTTTGCAGAACTTTATCCTACAGGTCCATTGCCCTGGTTTTATATACGACTTACTGTAAATACACAAAAATAATTTAACTCTCAGACCTATTCTACCTATTCTTGATTCTTATGCCTACAAACTTGCAAAATATCTTGTACCTGCATTAAGCTCACTAAAAACGAATTTACTGTTAAAGTTTTTTGTTTTTTTCCTTTGATCAATAGATATCTAAATTTCCTAATGCAAATGAATTTGTTATGGCGAGCTCTGACATTCAGTCCTTATCCACTAACATCCCACTTGAGGAAACAATTAAAATAATTAGCAAACAGTTATTCCCTACCAAACATGTTCTGCACTCTAACTTTAACCAACAACAATTCAAACAGCTTCTTAAATTGGCCCTCGAGAACAATTACTTCTTTTATAATGGTCATCTTTATGACCAGATAGATAGAGTGGAGATGGGATCACCTCTAGGTCTGCCCCTTGCAAATATTATGTTATGATGAATGTCAATGGCTGGATAATTACACACTATTTATTCTAACAGCCAAAGCTAAAAGACAAAAAGTCCAATTCATTTAGTTTTTGCTTTACAGCTATAAATAGAGCCATCTCAGAGTACATAGAGAACCATTTATCACAGTGTGAAAGTCATTTATTTAAATTTCTTTAAAGACAGGATGTGAAAGAAGGGCACGGCATGTGGTTTTGACTTTCTTCTTTATATCTCAGTCAAGCAACAGGCTTGGAGGGTTTAAGTTTACACTATGACTTACCAATATCTATAATAAAAGTGCATAATTTGTGCCAAACTCAGAAGATCATACTGTGGTAAAAATAAAATCTGAAATGGACAATTCAGAATGAAGAAATGTTATGTGGTTCAAAGAAGTGAAGACTGAAAAGTTACATAAATATTTCATTTCGAGATTAAGAAATTAAAGCTTATATAATATTACAATTTGAATTATAAACTATATTTTGATGGCACTTTTATTGACATAACATTGATAATAAAGTTGTTTAACTGACTTTTGAATTTAACCCTTTTAAAAAAGTCATTAGATATGTACTTTGACCAACCCAAATAATATGTACTTTGACCAACCCAAATACATAGGCATAATAAGTTATTTACGATATACTTACCTGAACTGGTAATAGAAGGTTGATCAGCTTTGTCTTTAGCAGCCTAGAAACAAAAAAGAAAAATAGATTAGTAACAATTATGTAAAAAGATAAAAGAGTACTGTAAAGGAAAAACAATTTCTTATATTATGGTCATTTTAAACTGATAGTCTTGTAAATATAAAAACTATATATGTGTTATCATTCATATTTGTCACTCACATCACGAATCTACCTTAATATCAGAACTTATTTACATACACACATAAACATGGCATCAATAGATGAAACATTATCATCTTTAATTAGTTGTTAATATGCTTTCTTATTAGCCATTCCAGAAAAACATAATATTGTTTACTTAGCTATGAACCAAACAAAAGAAAAATAACATTTCTAGTTTTAAACATAATCAAGAAGTTACAAAAGAGAAACTAAAATTGTGTCTTACTTTATTTTCTAACCATCTTTCTAATTCATCAAAGTCCTCTTTTTTCTGCCAGGGAAAGAATGAAATAAATTCAGAAGTCTTAGTTCTATATTTAACTTAATATAAAAGGTTTGGAAATACTTTTCATTTACATTATAAACTAGTATTCTATATTAAAATATGCTTGTTATAACATGTTCAAAACATGGTTTGAATGAAGCAGCAAACTGCTACACAATTTTGTGGTTAAGCAATGAAACAAAGTTTCATATTGCAACACTACAAAACAAATCAGAAATGCCAAGAAGAAGCATATAAGATTGAATTCCTATAACTAATGAAAAAAAGATACATTAAATGCATGAAGTTTAGTATAATTTGTGCAGAAACTAATTAATGACAGATGAGACAAGAATATAATATTGAAATGACACTTGGCTAAAAACATGGGAATTATTAAGAATGTAATGTTATTGAAATCATATATGAGCATAACTAAATCCAAATCAGTTAGATAAATTAAAGACAGAAAAGGGTGCTACTATAGCGCGAGGTCTACCGCCATATAGCATGAGGTCTACCTCCCGTTAGTACTATAGCGTGAGGTCTACCACACTATAGCATGAGGTCTACCTCCCGTTAGTACTATAGCGTGAGGTCTACCA